CTAGTGCTAATGTGTTTTCAGCTGGTTGTCTATGTTTTCTAGCTAGATAATTATATTTTTTTGTAAATAATACTTTTGCCGCTTTTGTGTATGTTTGCTGTTGGTTTTCAATTTAAATGACAGGAACAATTTGTTTCTTAGAGGTGTAGTCTACATTATCTATAACACCATATGTACCTGGTACCGTTTTGGGGGGTGAGGTGTTCATTATTGAGTTGTTTTTCGGTTTACTTTTATGATCAGGTTTGTTTTTAAGTCAGTTTTAGTCATCTATATGTTTTCATAAAATCCATTTTATTTTCAAACTATTATTTGAAATTTGCCCCTTATACTTTCTTGTTTTATATAAAATATACTCCCTACGGCTATAGTTATACCACAGTTAACTTCTCAGTTTTGTTTGCTTTTCTTTTTATTTCTGTCTTGCTCAAACTATTTTTAAACATAAGACCAATTTTCTTATAAAAAGTTTAATAGGTAGCATGATTTAAAAATGTAAATATACATGTACGTATACAGTAAAATACCTCCCCCTCCCCCAGTTCTCTGTCTGTCTAGGTCTCACTACTACCTAAGCCCCCAAACAGGTAACCATTGCTGTTGGTTTCTTAGGTATTCTTTCCAGAGCTTCTTTATTCATTAAGTAAAAATGAATATATTATTTTTCTTCTGTTTTTCATAAAAGCCAGTATATGCTCTACATTATCATATAGAATTCCTCATTCGTTTTATAGCTACAGTATTTCCATGATACTGAGTGTACCAAATTTATATGTATGTAACCAGCCCCCTAATGATTACCATATGTCCCCATGTATAAGACGCACCTTTTCTCGAAAAATTTGGGGTCTAAAAACTGGGTGCGTCTTATACAGTGGTTGTAGATATCAAATGCCATAGATGGAACTGAGGACGAGGCAATATATGAAGACAATGATTTGTCATCAGACACAGATGAGGACAAGCTAATGGTTGGGAATTTTGACAGTGATGAGGAGTTGTATGAATTTTATGATGAATAAAACTTGAGTTCAATAACTTTATGTAATACATTTTTTTTTCAAATTTCGGGCCTCCAAATTAAGGTGTGTCTTATCATGGGAGCGTCTTATACATGGGGAAATACGGTACATTTGTTTCCAAACTTGGGATTGAAACCATGATGTTGTTTTATTGTGTCTACAGACCAAGTCCTTACACACCAAACCTAGGAAACGCCATTAGTTTTTTAGCTAAATGTTGCCAAACTGGCCTCTACAGAAGTTGTAGGGTTTACTTACGTTCTATTAGTAAAGCACAAGAGGGCCCATTTTCCCCAAAGAACTTGTATCAAATCTGTATCAAAATCAAACATTGTTCCCAACCTGTCCTTAAGTTTTTAAAAAATGTATTGTTTTTGAGTCAGGTTTATTGAGGTATAATTTCCATGCAGTAAATTCATCCTTTCTACTATTTGGTTTGCAGTGTAATTTTTAATTGCATGCCTTTTGTTATAAGCATGATGTGGTATTTTTATAATCATAAGAAGGGAGATTTTTAAACCTCAAAATGTAATGAATAGAACTTCTAGATAAGATTAGTCCATTTGCACATTTTTATTTCTTTCAACCTCAGCAAATTCCATCCTTTTTGGCAAATTCAGAGCACACAGAGCAATACAAAATGATTTTTTTAAATGTGTTCTTGCCAATTGTGGAGAGGCGGTAAGATAAATGGACTGTGGGGATGGAAAAGCTTAACTGGGAAAATGCATTTCCTCTTCCTTTTAATTATTCAATGAATATATTACCGATTAGCCACAAGAATGTGTGACGCCTAGCCTGTACCTCCAGAGATTCGTGTAAATGGGGAGCCCTAAAGCTGTTTCAGCCCCAAGCTCCTACCAGCCTTCACCCTGGTCAGCTCTCGCTTACAGGTTGCAGCATCAGAGCATTGATGGATTGATGACAGCGTTCGGGTTTAGGGGAAGGGCAGTATTCCAGCAACCCTGTAGCTTTCCTCACCTTCACACTGTCTGGTTGAACATAAGTATTTTAACTGGATCCTGGCGTTACCGTTACCTGCTTAGTTTTAGGATTTTTGCTTCATTTGGCAGCATCGTGTAAATCTCAGGAAAGGCACTTAGCGGTGGCAAACTCAGCACTAGGACACCAGTCGTCTGATTTATTCAACAGCCACGTGACCTGTAGCCAGCAGCTTCTCTGCGCAGCTGCTCCATCTGGTCAGAAAGGGTCGGTGAGAAGAGCCGCGCTGCTCACAGAATGGTCCAAGCATCAACACTGCGGAGAAGTGCTCAGAAACACAGACCCTCGAGGTAGTCCCCACCCCCACCCCATCCCCAGGGCCACTGAATCCAAAGCTGCATTTTAATCAGATGTTGAGGTGGTTCTTGGGCACATTCCAGTTTGAGAAGTGCTGGGATGGTCTCCCAGGTTCTGGTCTTGTTCCAAAATTCAATGCCTTCTAGGTTCGCTCTGTTTCATAGAAATTTGCAGGGTTTGCTGGAGAGGTTGGGTACCTCACTGACGGTTGCGATGGCACCGATGCTGCAGGCTAAGCCCATGGTTGCTGTCTGTGTGTGTAGGTTGGTATTGAGACGGTGGGGCAGCAGAGGAGACGGGAAAACCCACTCCACTGGCCTTATGGAACTCTGGGAAGCGAGCCCATGCCTGCATGGCGCCTCCTGCAAACTTAACTGTGTTGTCCAAATTCTAGAGGCTCATTAAATAAAGAACAAGGAGAAAGATCTGGCCGAACTAGATATGCAAAGCCACTTATCTGTTTTCCTAAATGTGCTTCCTTTACCAGCAGTAAGTAAATGCAAATGCTGTCCTCAGGGTGGTATCCCTTGGAAAAGGAAACTTTCTTTTATGTCAGAGAGAAACTTTGTCTGGACAGTGATTTTTAGAGGGAGGTTATGAATTTGAAATTAATGAGATAGAAAATATTGGTGTATTTATTCTTTACCATCCCAATGAGAGAGGACAAAGCAGGACAGAGGACAGTGGCGTATTCTGTCATGGTAGCGGCCATAATAATCCTAAATTAGCTGTCCGAGTGGGGAGAGCCCTGCCTGTGCTCATAGAGCTGCTCATCGAGGAAAGTGGAAAATCTCATGCATTTTGTGCTGTTAAGATTTCTGCCCCTGACCTAACTGACCAGACTGCAACGTATGCAGCCTGTGATTTTCAGTAAACTCATGTAGTCATTACTTGCTGTGGAAACTCTTGTGAAACCAATAGAAGAAAAGCAGAGAGAGAGAGAGAGGGAGAGAGAATCAGCGCCAGCACCCCTGGACCTGGGAGTCTGCAGATAAAAGGCCTGTCTTGGTGATTTAGGAGTTCTTCTGGCTGAATGGGGGTCTGTCTGCACCAAGGGTCTCGATGCTCTTGTTCAGCCCTCAAGTTGGAAACTAAGATTTTGAGAATTTATGAAAATTTTCATAAGCAAAAATCTTACTAGAAAGGTTCTCAAAATAGCACTGGATAGAAATATGTGTGTGTAGGATGTCAGAAGTATAGTGTTACTTTTCACCAGGGCCCTACTAGTTGCTTTGTCCTCTTGTACCTGAAACCTGTGAAGAGGGGCTTCTTTCCATCGTGTTGGCATAAGTGGTCAGGGGGACTTGAAGATAGCCAAGTTCATATTAGCCAAAAATGTGCTTTGATTAATAAGCCCACGTTTTTTTTTTGTTTGTTTGTTTTTACGCATGTTACAGGTTTGATCTGTTTTCCCAAAAGAACATTGAAAAAGAGGGGTTGTTTTGACGCAGATTCCGGGGAAGGAAAATGACAAGTGTGTACACACAAGTACATGAAATGAATAGGCCAGTGAGAACACTACATTCTTTACACATGATACAGTGAGATAGGAGGAGAAAGTTCATGCCCGAAGTAGTTCATTTAGGAATGCCTGAGACACACCCTCCTGTCAGAGAACGTCGGCATTCGGCATTGATTTTCTCCCAGTACAGAGGCTGTACAGTAATGACAGAAAAGGATGGTTCTTTTTGCACAAGAACGGGGGAAGGTTATTTTTCCCACAGGTGGATATGAAAGTACTTACTCATAAGTAGGGCGATTTCTTTATATTTAATGCCATATTTGTCTTTCGTTATGTTTTTGAGAGAATTTTATGGAATTGGACTTAGAAGGTAATGAGCTAACCACTACACTTGATGTGGCATAGAGCTTTTGAGCCTTGGAGGTATGCATACCTTTTAAATTCATACAGGAGCGTCTATTTCCAAAATGTCTTTCATGGCTGTAGACTTCTACTTAAATATTATATCCAGGCTTGGTGTGAATGCCCAGCATCACACCCGTTGTCCTCACTGTGGGGAGGACCCTTTGCGTGGTCGGGGGGGGGGGGATCCTTTAGAAGCTGTAGCATGTGTCGTCGACAGGAAATTTGGTTTAAATTCATGTTTGCACCTTTGATCTCAGATGCTGCTGGGGTCAGCTGGTGATGTTAGCAGGCTTGACATTTGACCGGAAATCCAGCACTTGCTTAACAAAAAATTATTTGTCTAAGTGTCAAGTGTGTCGCATCCGTCAAAATGGGAAGGGGGGGAGGGAGGCAAGGTCCAGGAGAAACATCTGTGTGTGGTTAAATAGTTACTTCATTTGCTATCGAAAACACTTCTCTTTTGTATATTCAAGAACTGCATTTGCTTTAAAAGGGAAACATCAACTTGTCAGCTATTGTTCCTTCATTTTGCTCTTAAGGAAACCATTCATTTTCAGCCTCTCCGTGGCCTAGACCGTTTTCTGGAAGGCAGGCTCCCCGGTGGATTCCATTTCTCCCACCAGGGACGTGTCTGTTGGAGGGCAGAGGCGGCCCTCATCTTCCTGTCTCCACACGGTGAAGACTGGACAGGATGCTGGGACTTGCTCGGCCGAGTCTTGGGACGGTATTGTGTGTCCTGGGAGTCGGCTTTCCCCTCCTGCTGCACACAGGAGTGTCATCGCCTGTGCTTCTGTCTTTGCTTCCCCCCACAGATCCGGAGTTAGGTGTCGGCACGCTACCTGAACATGACAGCCAGGATGCAGGGCCGATTGTCCCCAAGATATCTGGCCTAGAGAGAAGCCAGGAGAAGAGCCAGGACTGTGGCAAAGAGCCCATCTTTGAGCCTGTGGTGCTGAAAGACCCCTGCCCTCAGGCCCTGCAGCCGCTGCCCCAGCCCCAGGCGGAGCCCCAGCCGCCTTCTCCAGCCCGTGACCTGGTGCAGTGCACAGAGGCCCTGCCGCAGCCCCCACGTCCAAGCACACAGCCGCCGCAGGCGCCCTCAGAGGCCCAGCTCCAGCCCGTGCCGCAGCCTCAGGTGCAGAGGCCCCCTCGGCCACAGTCCCCCACCCAACTGCTCCACCAGAGCCTCCCATCCGTGCAGGCCCACCCCTCATCTCAGAGCCTCTCCCAGCCACTGTCAGCCTACAACAGCAGCAGCTTAAGCCTCAACAGCTTAAGGTGAGCCCACCTGCTCTTCTTCACCTGGCTTTTGCCATCTTCTTTGGGTAGGGGCAGGTAGGACTGGGTAAAGGGTTCCCAAGGAGACTGGGGCTGCCTTGTTGAAAACGTCATTGCATTCTCTGCGGCAGAGATGGGAAGGGGCCGTCAGGGGAGACTCGTGTGTCTTGGGAGAGGGCAGGTTGGGTTGGGTGGTGAGGACACTGTAAAGGCACTAAGATAGCGACAGACGGGGTGAAGGCAGGAGAAGAATGCTTAAGAGACCAGCTGAGGGTGCTGTGCCCAGGAGCCCCACCGCTGGTGCGAGGCAGGGAATGGAGACGGGGCCACCCTAGACCACTGAGTGATGAGGTTCTCTGGTGAGGCAGCTTGCCTCTGGGGGGGGGCAATTTGAAGAAGTGGCATTCCTCTGCAACTGCAGAGGCAGGGAGATTGGGACCGGGAGTGTTCTGCCGGGAGGTTTGCTCGTGATCTCCCCCTCCAAGTGGGCCAGAGACGCAGAGAAGCAGCAGGCCGCATGTCGGTAGGGAAGCTCATGCATGGACACCAGGCCTCCTTCTGTCCCATTTTGCCAAGTTACAAAGGGAAGTTTAAAAAGGAGTGCCCAGGAGAGCTGCAAAGGAACGGGGGCCTGAAACGCCGGGCAGGCCATGTGTCGGTCCCCCTGGTTGTCCCTGGGGATGTAATTCTAACACCTCACACCGGTGGGGCTTTGTGTCTGCACTGTTGTTTTCCTTGTGACAACCTGGTGACTGTGGTGGTTCAGGGACTTGCTTCTTCCTGTCTGTGACAGGTGAGGGAACAGCCTGTTTGGGGGTTGGCCTTCTCCAAGGGGCCAGACGCAGGCCGTTTCTGTGACCTCCAGAATGTAGAGTTGACAGGGAACCCAAGCCCCCGGGCTCACCTCTTCTCTGCGCTTCTTCGTTTCCAAGGCAGTGGACAGGCAGGGCGATGAACTCAGGGCCTGGCTCTTACTCCCTTCGTCAGTTGTATTTGCTTTGTAGGAAGCGTGGCTGGTGGAGGATGGGAGGCTGTGGGACTCTCTAGGGACAGAGACGGGAACCTGGCCACAGGGTGCAGGGCAGACCTGAGTGTTCGGCAGAGTCAGCTGTCTGGACACAGATGTGCCGTAGTTGTGGAGCCATCATTTTTATTTGCTGTGTCTGCAGCAATGGTGATAGGTTTAGAGGGGCAGCGACTTTGGGAGAGGCACCGGAGAGGATCGATGACGAGGAAGAGCAGGAGAAGGGCTTCGGGAAGGAAGACAGGATTTCCTTTTCTTTTTTTAAGAAAATGAATTGCTTACCTCTTTTTTTATTTCTCTACTTCTCATTTTGGTTCTCCAGCAGCAGCAGAAGCAGCACCCCAGCGAAGACTCAGCCGGCCCCTCCTCACATCTCCCACCATCCCTCGGCCTCCCCATTCCCCCTCTCACTGCCCAACCACAGCCCCCTGCACAGCTTCACGCCCACCCTGCAGCCCCCCGCACACTCCCATCACCCCAATATGTTTGCCCCTCCCACTGCTCTGCCTCCTCCACCACCACTGACATCAGGGAGTCTGCAGGTGCCCGGACACCCGGCCGGGAGCACTTACTCAGGTAGGATGAAGGCGCTGGCTCTGCCCCCCACGTTCCCACTCTCCCTTGCCCTTGGTCCCACCTGCTGTCTCTTGTCCCTGATTGCCAGGCTTGATCTAGTTACGATTTTCTGCTGTATTAGATGTATTGTCATCGATGTTTTGTGGGCTGAGGTTCTGCATAAATATGTACCAGCACGCATACCAACCTAGCACAAGCCAGGTGGACAGGACACCCCCAAAGAGAACCAGTTTGTTTGAAGTCACGCGGTTTTTCTAAGTTCACCACTGATAAAGTGGTACAATAGATTGTATGTGTGTCCATAAGAGCGACAGACGCTTTCCCAGGCCCCTGTCCGTTTCATTCCAGGAACTTAGGCTGCACGCTGGTTTAGGGGCTTCTTTTAGCTGAACAGGACCCTCTACATTTTGAGAGGGCAGGTGCACTTGTGGCAACACATCCCAGAATCCTAAGGACAGACCCAGTGTTAGCTAGTGGGTCCTCTGCTACTCGCCTGTGTTATTCAAGACAGGGGTCCAAGCTTGGGACCCACTGTAGCCGTGTTAGACCACCAGTACAGAGAGCGGTAAAGCAGAGATTACCCTTGAAGAGAGCACGAGGGCTCTGCCATATTGACAGCTGGCATTTAGTAATTGGTATGCCAGTCCCTTTCTTAAGCACTTACAAATGGTGATTCCTTTAACCATCAGAATAAACCCATGGGGTAGGCAATATTGTCCCCACATGACACATGAGGAACTGAGAGACACAGATGGGTGATTAGCCAGGGTCACTCAGCTGGCACTGACAGAGCTGAAACCTGCCGTCTGACATTTGCCGGGAGCCTGTCAGCACACCACACTGGCAGACCTCTGTCCTCAAAAGCAGAGAGGCTGGATGGAGAACAGGAGAGCGAGACTGCGACGGGGCCTGCCTATCGTCCACCCAGTTGGCTGTCCCCTACCATCTAAGGGCCCAGCCTGGCCCCTGGGAGCCCCATCTCCTGTGCCCTTGGTCCTGATCCCTCCCTAGTGAGGTACTCAGATGTCCTGTTAGGAGAAAAGGTGTCACCCTCTCCATTCCGTCTTTTCCAGAGCAAGACATCCTGCGACAGGAACTGAACACACGTTTCTTGGCCTCTCAGAGTGCTGACCGCGGGGCCTCCCTGGGCCCTCCGCCCTACCTGCGGACTGAGTTCCACCAACACCAGCACCAGCACCAGCACACGCACCAGCACACGCACCAGCACACCTTCACGCCGTTCCCCCACGCCATCCCGCCCACTGCCATCATGCCGACGCCAGCACCTCCCATGGTGCGTACCCCAGGCAGAAATGTGAGGATAAGTAGAGCACGACTCTTTTCTATGCAGCACGGTGGGGCTGGGACAGGTGTTGCGGCCAGGAGAGTGGAGGGGGAGTGATAGCCATCAGGGGGTTCCTGTGGCCTTCTCCATCTTTGCTGGCAAGAAGGGAGTGAACCGTGTTCCAGCCAGCACTTATCTGGCCTAAAGCAGGAACTTTCTCCTGGACAGTTATATCTGGTGCTGTGGGTGGACTTTATTCTAGATTCCCTCCAAACTGTCACATCCAGTGTCAGCAATTAACTTTTGCTTAAAGGTAGTTTTGTTTTCTTGAACATGCTGGGCGGTTCCCACCAGATATAAAAATCTGTCTGTCAGTACTTTGCGCCCAGTACAAACAGAATACCAACCAGTGTCAGGGAGAGGCTAAGGGACACAGGCTGCCTTGGGTCCCTGCCCCTGCAAATGGTCTCTCTAAACCTACTTTGGTGAAGGTGTTAATTTCTTGTATTTCCTGAAATGGCACCCCAGTCTGATAGTGTGCTCTGTCAGCAAGTGGTCAGGGAGCCGTGCGCCCTGCGGGGACAGAGCTCAGCCTGTGGGAAGAGGTCCCACTGGCGGTGACCATGGTCTCGGTCTTGACGGGGGACTAGCACGTGTCAGGAGAACCAGTTAGGACTTAGAATCTGTGGTGACTAGTGCCATATAAGGGTGTGAAATATCCTGAGGTAGAGCCCTGTCCACCACAGTGAGTGTTAGAGTGGTTTACTTACTTCATTTGTAATAATAAAGGAAATACTTGATTTTAAGGCAGTTAATACAGGCATTATGAGAAAATATTTCAATTCTATGGTTTTAAGAGGCTTTTTCTTCACCAAACTTTGCTTCCTTTTTTCTCTCTCCCTCCTCAATTTTGTTCAACTTAATTTTTAAATATAGATTTTTTTAAAGTTTATTTTACACGTATTATATATAGAAGATTAGAGGTGAAGCCTTAGGACCAAAATGTTTTCCCATAGCAAATCCTGTATCTGTTTTTCTGGAGAAACTATACTTCTCAACAGTTAGATTTTTAAGGGCCTGTTATGTTGGGGAAGAGTTGATGCCAGCCTTAGTGAGGTGTTTCACAAATGTGTTAAATCGAATGGAGGGGAAGTTACAGCACCCAGATGATGGCATTATTTAGAGGAAACAATGGTATATATCCTCTTCTCAAAAGAAGGGCTATAAGACCGAGCCCAAATTGCTTTGTTTTGGGGCATAATACATTTCAGAAGACAGCTGAATGTACAATTCTTCTGCCAAAGTAAAGATGAAAATGGAGGGAATTCTCTGGGTAAATCAGACCAAATGCTGACTTCTCCCTGATTTATCTGAATAATTGCCTCTTTTCTCCAGTTTGGATGTTGTGTTTGTGTCAGTCTCTAAATATGGAGTAGAAAGAGACACAGCAGTGCGGCCAGGACCTAAGTGCACCTTGTGGGTTTTCACTTTCTTTTTCCATTTTTGTTGGTTTCCTGTCAGAGTGACTCAGGCGCTCAGAATGGTTTCACATAGGCTGAGGTTGTGGAGTCTGATGGCAGCGTAATGACCAGCCACATGCTTAGGGCAGCTTCCACTGATGCAGTGTACAGAAATGTAGATTCTCTAAGTAACTAGCTTTTGCTTTGATCCCTTTACAGTTTGACAAATACCCTACAAAAGTTGACCCATTCTACCGGCACAGTGTGAGTCTCCTTACCATGCTACACATTCAATGTCACTGCTTTTCCATTTTGTGTGCTTTCACCACAGACCAGTCCATGACTAGCAGCTCTTCTTAATTATCTTTGCAAGAATTCCCATTGCTTCTCGTCACTTTGGATGCTTGCTTTTGTGACGTTTGCTTTAGGTAAAGATGCAGTATCATCTTCTGAATCAAAAGATCATAAGCACTCGTAAGACTTGAAAGCGAAGTTGAACTTCACCGAAAGCCAGGCGTCTGTCCTGCAAACTGGGGTGTCTGCTTTGAATCAGCTTCAGGAGAATGTCATTACCACAGAATTCCTGGGATTCAATGTGAATGAGTCCTTCCAAATCGGAAGTCTCTTATCTTTTTGATTCATAACTCTTCAAAAAGCCAGGTTTTCATTTCCTCTGAACGAAATGCAGAGCCCTCTTCCACCTACCTGGCTGGTGTAGTTCGCCTGAGCTTGCTACAACTGAAAATAAAGACATTTAAATAAAACAAGGTCTTAAAATTGAAATGTATGATTTTTTTCTCTTTAAACTCGTTCTTCGTTTAAAAAACAATACTTGTTTTATGCAATTATAAGACTATGGTCTGGAACTTAAATTGGTACCAACTTAAGTTTTATGTTCAGTCCTCATAAGACAAGGACTTCTTTTTATTACAAAGACCTTGAACATCTTACCATGATAATTTTGATTATAGAGTGAATACTGCATCATTTTTACCTGAAATTTTGCAAGTTTCTTTGCTCAGTGGTTTATTCATATTTTTAAATGAAACCAGGAAGGAAGAAGATTAATAATTGCTTGTAGCCACATTGACTCACCATACTTAACTATTTTTGCTTTGATTTTTGGACAGTGTTATCATTTGAACAGAAGGCTATTTAATAGATCAGCCAAGGCTGTGAATTCATTCATACTTAGAAACAGATACTTAGACGCTGTTTTAGTCCTGAGTGTAGCTGAGAAATAAAACTAGGAAATAGTAGAACTCAATGAAGAATTACTCTAGAGACATTCAGAAGTACCATGAGGAAGGTCTCTTTGGAAAGGGAAGAGGAAAGTGTATTTGAGTGCTGGGGCCCCCACCTTGTTCCCGTACAGGTCTGCTCAGTCGGTACTATGATACAAAAGCATTTTTTAAATAGAAGTGAAAATCCAGTAGACCTGTGGGTTTCCTCTTTGGGTCTGTCCCATGAGTGACACCATCTTAAGAATCATCAAATTTCTGCTCTTTTTCTATGCCTTGCTAATTTAAATTAAGGACCAGCTCACAAAATCATCTTAGAGAAAGTTTAGGGCACTCAACAGGTGACTCGGATTTACTTCCTAGGACCAAATGCAGTGCCTTTTTCTATACACGTTCCACACAGAGTTCGAGATTGAAGATGGGAAACAAGGGGGCTAGTCAGCTATATTCTAAGAGGGTCAGTAACAGAAGCAGGCAAAAGGAAAATGGTGAGAACATGCAGTTTTTTATTGAAAACATTAAAGGAAAAATACCCACCTGGAGGCAGAGTAATAGAAATTTGAGTGTGTTTTAGTGTGGCATGTATTTAATTACTCTGCTTCATAGAGTACTCTGGGAGAATTATTTCATATTATTAGTTATAGCAGATAATACACGAAGTACTTAGTCTCCCTGCTTTGGGGATTAGGACGTTATAAGGGGAATTAAGATGCAATGCACTCAAGTATCTAAAACACAATTTTAGACTTAAAAGTAGTTTTAAATGAGGGCACTTGGCTTGCAATCACTGTTTAAGTGGATTTAGTTCAATATCAATTAGTCTGAAAAAACTTTGCTGCATCATTGAAGGGAGCAAAATGAAATAAAGACCAACAGAAAAAGAACGTGCTTTGAAAACAGGATTGTGAAATGTGGATTTCAGTCGTTGTCTCGAAATAGCTGACATAATTGCCTTATTAGGAAAAGCTTGAGTTATTATTATATTTTTAACATATTATGCAACCCTATGGGTAGCACATTACTTAAATACCTGTATGGTGGTCTGAGCAAAGCAGATGGAACCAAAGCAGTAGAATCTCAGGAATACTAAGTTTTTAGGAAGAAAACGTGTTGCATTGTTTTCATGACTGCCATATATTTCTTTCCTCCACTGTGTCCTCTATAAACTATGAATTCTTCTCCCTTCATTGAGTGCTCAGACTGCCATGTCAAGGGCTTGGCTTGAATAAGCTCCACTGAATTTGTCCACCTTATAGAAAAATGGGTAGCTCTACTGAAAGTATATACTGAGTCATTATTTTACCCTTCCACAAATATTTGTCATCATTTTAGATGAGACAATTAAATTGTCCTCTGGAACTGTACTTCTAGAACAACCTAACGAAGCAAGGATTGTGAATATTTTCTCAGTTCTTCAAACTGTTAAAAACCTAAACGTAGTAATTGAGTTTTAATGGTGTAAAATCCAGAAACACATCAAGACTTGCTTCTTCTTCCCCCCTTTTTCTTTTCTTTTTTTTTTTTCTAATTAATGTGTAATTTTCTAGGCATCTTATTTGGCTCAGCACCCTTCCTGTTTTTGATATGCATTAAAATTTCCAACCGTTTAGGACTTTTATCTGATTTACCAATTAATAATTAGAAAAGCTCCCCTTCTAATGATGTCCTCATCTGGGACATCATTTGTTGGCTGATTGATTCTGAACTACTTTTAAGCTTTTAAGTTAAGCATTCATGGCACATCTGTGTGATCATTTCATCATGGCTTTTTGACTAATAGCATCAAACTGAGATTACTTGGCTGCTAATGTGGATGTCTTTCTATGGGAAGGGAATTGGAGTATATCATTTGCCTCCCACTAAAAGCTTTTTCCGTCTCCATCTTTGGCCACAGCTCTTCCATTCCTATCCTCCTGCAGTATCGGGCATCCCCCCTATGATTCCACCCACTGGCCCTTTTGGTTCACTACAAGGAGCATTTCAGCCGAAGGTAAGAAACCTTACAGTGAAAACACACATGCGTGTTTATACGTGGGGCCTCTGGCGAGGTGTGCGAGTGGGTTCTGCATGCTCTCGCCTATAATTTTTCTGATCCAAAGTGACCACTGGGATTACAGTGAGAATATCTTTTTCTAGTCCATCTAGTTTTAAACCTCAGCCAAAATTAATTTTCAATTTGTACTACCCATGTAATCTCAGTCGAGCCAGGAGTTCCTGTGCTCTTTAAAAATATCAGAATCTTTGTGTAGTTTTCCACCAGTATTGTGGACATCATCTTCTTGTCAGGAATGGTGTGAAAGGCCAGATATATCGTACCAAGCTGTCCTTGAGGTTTACAGTTTTAGAGAAGATGCAAAGCTGAGCCTTTATTGATTTTAACAGAAGGGAGGAAAAACGTTCCAAACTAAAACTACATCCTTCTAATTATGGAAAGGAAAAATGCTTCTCTTCATCTTCCTCATTCCCCCTCAGCCCCAAGTGTCTGCAGATAGGGCTTCCCTGCAGATGGGGCCCCACATTTTCCTGCACCCTTTTCTCCCTCACCCAGTGCCCCCTCCCTCACCCACACTCACACTCACCCAGGTCAAGGCTCTGTCATCACTTACTAACATCCCAGTGTGAAGTTAACCTTTTACCTGTATAATAACTACATCCTTTTCTACCTAGTCAGTGTTACGCTGCTAAACTTGGGCCACAGTTACCTCTAAGGGTCACCATTGCGCACGGATTCTCAGAACACTGCCTTTGTGTGACTAAATCTGCTACAACCCCTCTTTCCCCGTATTACAGAAAAGCGAAATGCACTTCCCATGTTAGTCAGCATTCTCAGATTGTAAAGTAGGAAATTTTACTGTGTGTGATTTGGTTTTCTTTTTATATTTTCCATCTCATTTCTAAGTCAAAACACCTATTCTGGGCCAGAGTCCCCCAGGATGAGCACATATTACATTTCCAAAGGCTTGTTGCTTTAATACTAGAAATAGGAAAAGAAATTAAAAAGCATTAGGGATGGGATGGCTGCACCTTAGAAGTCACACTTACCTGCATGGCACTGCACTTTATGGCCAGGCTGTATATACACAGGGCTTTCACCATCGCCTTGTGAAACACCTCCTTCCTAGGGATGAAAGGGTGTGATCTTTAAACCCCTTCCCCCCAGCTGCTCTTCACTACTCCCTCAGAGCCTGGTCTGTCCCCTCTAGATTGCAACAAATCTCTCCTGCATCCCCAAACAGACTGGTAGGTCATTTAATAAATTAGACTATTTCCCTCACTCACAATTATCCAATCACACAGAAAACTACATCTGGGCGAGAAAGTGTCTCTCCTGGTGTTGAAATAGGTCTTTCCAGGCCGTCTTGCTGATTGAATATGTAGATTGCGGTTCATTAGTGGAATTCTTCATATGTATGCAAATCAGGCTGTTAACAACCCCAGCTTAATTGTTAGTTGTACAGCAGCTGATTGCTTTTCTTCTTTCTTTCTTTTTTTCTTCTCCATGTAGGCAAGCTTTGTGCCTAAACCTGAGCTCATGTTCCCCACAAGTTAACTTCCTGGTGTGAGGGGTTCCTAGAGGTTGTGATTTCTTAAATAAAATACCTGGTGAAAAAGTTTCTGAATCCTTCCCTCACTAGAAAGTGACTGCTTCTGCCCAAAATAGGCTTTTTGTTGCTTTTGTGGGTAATTCAAAGGACAAAAGCCTGCAGATCAGGTTCGTGTTATTAATGAGGCTTAAGAACGGTGTGGGAATAGGAAAGACGAAGCAGAATTACCTTAGCAATCATTTAACAGGCGATCTGTGCGCTCCCTAAATTAGGTTCTCTTGTCGCATCTCCACTGCTAATGAGAGATTACTGAGTGTAATTCCTGGGTATTGTCTGCCAGTTAAAATGTAGAGAGTTGGCTTAATGTCTGTGAAACACTTTCAGTTACTCTGATGAGAAGCACCTGATCGAGCAGATTACACTGTTGTTCACTGAAGGGCTTCTTGGGATGTTTGGTGATGAAGCAGAAAACCCAGTGACAGGCTGTGGCAACTTGGAGGAGATGGATTTCAGGGTAGCAGGGGAACGTGTTGGTTTTCTCTTTGGTCCTGTGCTTTTTACTGCAGTGGAATGTGGCACGGTCCGCCTCTCTGTTTTAGATGCCAGGGCTACAGAGGGCAGTCTCTGGCCAGGGTCCCTGGAGAAAACAGGGAGAGGATCTTCCTGAAGAGCACGTGTGATCACTGAGAAAAATGCATGTTAGGTCCTGTATGCCAGAATGCAACAAACAGGAAAAGACATTGGCTTCTGTAATGTGGAATAAAAGAAAGGGCCTGCTTTCATGTCACGTTTTACACTCCCTAAGCTGTGGTCTAATTAACTTGTAGACATCCAACCCTATCGATGTTGCTGCTCGACCTGGGACAGTCCCTCACACTCTGCTCCAGAAGGACCCAAGGGTACGTGCAAAGTCAGGCTTGGTCTCAGGTAACACCAGGGGCATGTGCTGGCATGGGGCAGCACCTTCCGAAGCTCGTCTGAGCGAGCCGCCATTTTAGCTGTTCCTTCTAGTTGGTGGAAGAAAATGCCAGTTACTCTTAGAACATGAAATCTCTTCTGTGCTTCTGTTCTGTGGCCATATGACTCAAGGGGAATGACTTGCTGGTGGGAGGACAGAGTAATGGCTGTGGTCTGTAAGGTCAGGAATTCCACACTGCAAGCTTGGGTGGTTTCTGCTCAGCCCGTCTTTGTCTATAGCTCCTTTAATTTCTCTCACACAAAAGAAATAGCTGCAAAATGTTTTCAATGGAAAAGCACTGAGAGCTTTTCTTCCTGGAAGTCAGGACATCCCTCACTTCCCTGGAGTCAGGAAGTCTCTGAACCGCACAGCTATTCTGGCCCTCCGCTTTCACTGTGGTAGGAATCCTTCTGTGACTTAGAGCTAAATAAAATATCCATTATGCTTTGGTTATATTACCTATTCATAATGTATACCTCCACCTACTCTCCAAAACAGGAAAAGTCACACAATAGGTATAATCTTGTCTCATTGATTGTTATTTACATTCATCTTTGTAGTAAATGTGAAAAATGATTGCCTTTTACAATATTGTCTTTTTCCCTGGGTAAGGGCAGTCAGAAATTGATGACCAGAGTTAGGTAGAAGTTTAAAATGACTCAACTATGTAAGTATCCTTATGATGTCTAGTGAACTTGTTTACAATGTCTAATAACCTCTCGGTAGCGTACAGTCCTCACATTACGGGCATTGGTAGAGACAGCCTAGTTCTACTGTTTGTCCAGAAAGCACACCTCTCCCCAGGTACTCCTTAGCATCCAGCCTTACACATAAGCCTGTGGTCTAGTGGCGGGTCTCCCCTAGACCCACTCAGTGTGGTTTGGAAAGGCTGCTCAAGATAGTGGGCCTCCTCAGACGTGTAAAGTGAGCAAATCATGTTGCCAGAGGGCAAATTGCTATTGATTGAACCTGTTCGTGGGGGAGAGGGGGCTTGTCAGTGTAGATGTACCAAGGCTTGTGAAGCGGGGGAGGGGACACTTGGCACTTTTGATAGTGTGAAAATGGGTTAATTATTCTCTAAAAGGGCTTCATTTAAAAGTAAAATTCTAACATTTTAATTTCCCCTCCTAATGAAGCACTACAAATTTGTTAATTAGAGCAATTGTTTGAGTGACAGGCATGTAACCAAGTTGTCATTTTCTCTTCACAGTTGACAGATCCTTTCAGACCTATGTTAAGGGTAAGAAAGCTTCTTCTAGAACTGTTTTTGCAACCTCTGTTTGACTCCCTGTGGGTTAAAAATATAAATCCATTATGAGGAAACAAGCCACAGAAACATTGGACTAAAAATGTCGGACTGACATTTTTGTTGGATTGAGTTTCTCAGGTAGTGTGATTGAAAATGGCCTAAATTGTTGTGCTTTGAGTGTTGGGGGAAGCCAAGCTATTGAGGTAAAGCTAACAGATAAAATTCAACTGAGTCAGAGTCTCTTAATAGCAATTGTGGTAAAAGGCTTCACTAGTGGGAAGTTAAGGGAAGCGGGGAATTAAGCTATATGCTGAAATTAGGATTTTACTGAGTTCTGTCTCTCTTGTGCCTAGAAAATTTATATCTGGGTCTATTTATTGTGACTCGTGGCTGCCTCACTCTGCAATAAGTGATGCGGACGGGTCACAGCCATTCGACCCACTTCTCTGGTGCAGAAAAGGGTTACTAGAAGCATTGGTTTGTTAACATCTTGAGAGGTCTGGAGAGTGGCCAGCAGATGACCTCTGAATAAATGCTGACTGACTTGGTTGGGGAAGGTGGGAGATGGGTGGTTGGATGGAAGATGGATGGATAGTAGACCTCCTGCTGTACTTAACTTATTTCTACTATGTAAAATCAGATAACTCCGTTTCTCAAAGGGGAAAAAAAGGACAATTGTGTCATCACTTAGGTGATTTCAGCTACCCCTGATTTCATTACAGAAGAAGAATACTGACCCCAGCCTTGGATTGAAGTCTATATTTCAGAATCAGCTCCTTAATAGAATCCAGAAGTGCCTATCCTAGGGGTAGATTATGTAGCAAGAATACAAATGAAATGGCAAGAGATGGTCTCTACCCTCCTTACACCCTCAAAGCAAGACGTGAAATAATTTGAGAGTGGAGGAGGAAGTTGGCATAGAGAGTAAGAAGGAATGAGTTCTCTGTTTCTTTCCCTTTTTCACTTAGCAGTGAACAATGCCCACCAACATAAATGGTTAGCTGACTCTTTGTGAAGCTCTTATAGGGAACTGGGCTTTCATAAAAATGTGGAATTTCTTTCTTTTGCTTTGGTGGCTAACAAAAGCCAGGGCTGGGGGAGGTTGCACAGGTTCTGGACTCTCACTTGCTTTGAACTGATTCACAGACATTCACTAATTAGTTCTTCTGAACAGCCGGTTGTATTGTAGCATGGCCGTATTTGTTAAGTAGGGCTTCCCACTCTACCAAATCTGCCAACTGGCATCAGAAAAGAAAGAGAGAAGAGACAAAGTGGGCTTCGGGCTTTGCCATCTATCCTTGGTAACCAGGGAGGTCCTTGTCAAGTGTGGGTTTCTGAGGAGTAGCCGCCAGCTCAGGCTCCCTGACTGTGGCGCTCTCAGGCCTGGGCACTGGAGAGCTGCTGACAGAAGGCACTTGGAGGGTACAAAACACTCTTGTTTCGTTAAACAAAAAAGCTCTGCGGCCAAAAATCTGCTGAAAGCTTTGGGGAAATTGAAGACAGTTTTCTCTGAAAGGTCTTCCTTCTGATTATGTTGCTCTTTCTTGTTCCAGAAACCAGGGAAGTGGTGTGCTATGCATGTTCATATTGCCTGGCAGATCTACCACCACCAACAGAAAGTCAAGGTCAGTCTTGCCCTCCTAGTCTGGGGGAATGGGGACCGGGTCGCGAGGGTACGTGATCTCCCAACTAAGGAGGCATTTAAACAGATTCTGAAGGCCCACTGACTGGAAGGATCAAGTCTCTTGGGAAAGCTATTTGGAAATCTTACTATTAATCCAGAAACCACCAGCAAAATGACAAAAACAGAAGCAAACTGAGACCCTGATATTCCTTTCTTTTTTAGAAAAAAAAAATGATTTCTGTCATCTTATTGATCTAAAGAGCTTAAATATAGGTTAGCTCCTAAAATAAAGGTTTGGGGGAAAGATATAGACCATATGCCTCCTTGCTGACTTGATTGTACAGTGCGACAAAGATTTATTTATAGCCGAGCGACGACGGAGTTTGAGGTGGAATGGAGCCAAGCAGGAAGAGCCACACATGGAAGTGTCTTTCCTATAAGAATTGGTGCATTCTTTTCATTTTACGGCTTTGGAAAATGATCGAGTAATTTATGCTCCAGATAATTCTATGGCACTTGCATTTGCAATACATAGTATTAAAAACGACTTCTAGAAGCAATATTTGGTTTGCAGTGACCTTTCCATGCTTATCAGTCCTCCTGATGACCAGCGCCAGAGGTTAGAATACAGTCAACACCTGTCAGAACCACCATCTAGCCAGTTACTGTACCCTCCGCAGATGATCTCCGTTTTCACCTGATTTCATCAAAGAGATGAACATGTCCCTGCTTTCCCAGGCCTTATGGTGCAATAGGGAAGCGTTCAGGAACTGATAGACCAGATTTACAATCTGGATATTTACAGTCTGTGTAGCTGTGCCTAGAAAAATGGGAGAAAACGACCAGTCAGGTAATTCCAATGAGCTTCAACTAATCCATGTTATCAATAATAAGTTTTTGGTCCTAACAGCATTTGGGATTCATTATGACAATAATAAAAGAAAGTGATAAACATGGAGGGAGAACAGTGTTTTCTTAAAACATGGTTCATTGATTTTTTAAAAACCAACCTAGTTAAAAGTTAAAAAGCCAACCTCAGCAAATGAGGTCACTAAGATACTTGCTTTGGTGCCAAATACCTGCTCTTTCTGGTAACATCCCATCAGTGAGTTTTGCTCGCATTTACTTCATCATTAGGCAAGGTGTAATTAGCAGCCTTAACGGTTCCCACCCTTGGTTAGGAAATGTGTGTGCGTTGAATTGCTAACTAGAGTTTGACAGTTCAATTCACTTTCTGTTCTGGATGATGTGGTTAGTGGAACGGTGGGTAAGACACGTCCTCCTGTAACTCCTTTGGTTAAAAGTGATGAAGGACGTTGTTTATGCCCCTTTGGCAACTTCTTTTCCATGAAAGTGTCCCCCGTGACTAAAACCTTCATTTTCCCAATTCAATTAGGAAGACCTTCCACATGAGGTAGCAGTTCATCTTCCCTTTCCAACAAACTCTTTGTAATCCCCAAGCTCCCTTTTGCTTCATGGACCTAAGTTGTGGTTAATGGAACTGTGCTGTGTACCGTGCAACATAAGCACTAAATAATTTGGCAACCAAATTTAAAAAGATTTTTATAGATTTATGGTGAATTAGGAGCTTTGTTTGGGGGTTTGACTATTCCATTATAGTGGGACTCTGATGACATTATTCCCTGTCGATTTGAGCAGAAATTACATTGTCCCCATTTCCTTGAACGTTCATTAACTCATTCTTTTAGTCACTCACCAAATATTTATTGAGAGAGCCTACTGCCTTGCAGGCTCCTTACTGTGCCAGGCTCAGAGGGCACTCATATACCCTGGTATCTAGCTGCTTAGGAGTTCACTAGTGAGGCGCAGTGTGTGCATAAAAAATGACGATCCTGCCGTACGCTTCCAAGAGGGCTTGCTTCCAGCCTAGCTGCCTAGGTAGGTTTCATTTTCCATAGGTGTGACGGATGAGTGGGCTCTGCCCTCAGCAAGGCTGGAATAGCAGACTTGTCTCTGGCTCTCACACATGTGGATCAGATGCCACCTTCTGACTTGCTGTACAGCGGGACAAGAATTCATTTATAGCCAAACATGAGGGAGTCTGAGATGGAGTGGAGCCAAATGGACTGAGTGAGAGCATCAGATGATTCTCAGAGATTGGAAGTGGGAGAGTCAGAAACAGGCTAAGGGCTGTGAGGAAGTGGGGGTCTGGAGAGCAGAGAGGTGGTGGCAAGGGAAGGGAGGCTCGGGGCTTCGGACTGCAGGCCCCCGGTGGGTGTTGGTGCTTGTCCCAGGGGGTGTAAAGCTGATTCAGAGAAAGCTATTGAGAAACAAGGAGGTGGGGCAACTTTGAAAGCATGTCGCTCGAGAGGGTTATGTTAGGGTAAGATTCAGGAAGCGGTCAGGAGCCAATTTCTATAGCCTCCGAGGAGGGCAGGCTGACCGGCTAGCTTCAGGGTGGATACGTAAATGAGAGGAGTGACTGCAGGTGATGGCAAGGACCTCACGAGAGAGGTTCTCAGTGATTTACTGGTCTGCCTGGATCTCCTCTTGCTTAAGTAATTGGGGATAGTAGGTAAAGAAAAGACCCCTATCAGTTAAATTGACATCCCTACTTAGTTTCTGGGTTTTGTTTTTAATATGGAACAATGATCATTTGAAAATTAGTTTGTACTACTCCCCCAATTCCCCAATTTAAAAAAAAAAAAAACCTTAAAAAAAAGAAAATTAGCTTGTAAATATTTCTTTATAACTTTCGGTTACTAATATACTGTGATCTATTAGAGTATGGAAAAGAGTCATTAAACAATTAAGTTCCACAGAAGATTATTCACGCAGAATCCCTAATAAAATGAGCTTTAAAATACTATCATTTAAAAACTTGCCAAAATGGGCCTTTACAGCAAAGAAGCAGCTACTTGGGAGGGATGGTGGTTTGAGTCAATAGGATATGGTTTCATTCCTTAAACCATGTGGCCTCAGAGAGCAAACACTAGTTCTGCCACTTGACATTTCTGATTGGGAAGCAGATACTGCCCAAGAGCAAGCTCCACTGACCTCTCAGGCTGACCGGCTGTTCTGGCATTGAGGGTTAAATGGTGTGTGGGTGGCTGTGTTCTCATGGCATTCATAAACTTGAACCTGACTGAGGCTCCGAGCCCAAGTGCACCCTTCACGGTTCCCTCTCTGTCTCAGCCTCTTTATTAATGTCTTCCTTCCCTGCCATTCCTCTTGGGATGTCATCTTTTATTTTTCCCTTTGCTGCTTTAGAAACAGATGCAGTCAGACCCACATAAACTGGACTTTGGACTGAAACCTGAGTTCCTGAGCCGTCCTCCAGGCCCCAGTCTCTTTGGAGCCATCCACCACCCCCATGACCTGGCACGGCCTTCGACTTTGTTCTCTGCCGCTGGTGAGTTCAGCGGGGGCAGGGCTGAGCTGGGAAGTGGTGTTCTCAGGCAGCTAAACAAATTCTGTTTGTGCTCTGGGCCACCACTCAATCACTCCCTAAAAAAAACACCATTTATGCCAGCTTGCAAATCCACATCACAGCACATCTAGGGAAATGGGCCCTCCTTCATTGATATGCCCTCTTTCATTAAAGAAGAAAAAAAAGATTATTTTTCCCTTAGGGGACTCATATTGCTTCAGCTCATTATTTGCTTCCATATTAAGCCAGTATAACTCACAAGCACGTCAAATGCTATTGAAAAAAAGACCAAAAAGCTTGCTTGCAAGAGCAAATGGAAAGGAAACAATGCCAGGACTTCTGTAAGGATGCAGTCGCCCTCTCTGCCAGTGCCCACAAAGCACTCAGTAGGTTTGCACCATGATGCTCAGTAATGCTGTGTTTTGAGGGTCTGAAGGAAAAGAAGTCCAGCTGACCCTTGAACAACACGGTTTGAACTGTGTGTCCACACAACTGTGGATTTTTTTAGTGGATACACACACTACTGGAAATGTATTTTCTCTTCCTTATGATTTTCTTAATAACATTTTGTTTTCTCTTGCTTACTTTATAAGAATACAGTACATAATATAACTTACAAAATATGTGTTAATCTACTGTTTATGTTATGGGTAAGTCTGCCAATCAACAGTAAGCTATTCGTAGTTAACTTTTGGGGGATTCAGGAGTTATGCACAGATTTTCAACTGCGCAGGGGGTTGGCACCCCTAACTCCCACGTTGTTCAAGGATCAACTGTATGATTAAAATAGTTGCCAGTGCTATGGTCTGTGACGGGGAGGGTGAGTCCGTTGGTGGCTGGTTTCCTCTGCTGTAGAACTTAGTGTTACTGCCCTGGGTGATTGGAACGATGCAGGAAATTTAGGCCACAGGGTGGAAAGTACCCAAGAGATCTGCTCATTGACCTGTGAGCATGCACACTACAGAGTGACTCTTAGGTGTGTCGAAGCCCGGGTGGGTTGCTGAGGGTCATGGATTCAGGTACCCCCACACTTCTGCTCCAGGTACATCCAGACAAAACACGGTGGCTCCAAGGAATATTAGGCAGACGAGAACAGCCCTGTTTCAGTTTCCTTAGCATTCAGTCTCTTCTAAAGCTGTTTTTGGTGCACAGCACCTGACACAGGGCCCCACTCAACAATGCTTGTAAGCGAGCCCACTGAGCTCACTCTGGTAACCGGCTCTGTAACTTCACACCCGCTGTGCTAAGTGGAATTTTTTCTCCTGGACATGGATCACCAAGGGGCTCTCTGTTCTCGTCCTCAGGGAACAAGTTTTACATCTATCCTGCCTGCTGCCTTCCCAGGCTTTTATCCAAGACTCATTTTGGGTAGACTTAAGGCTCTTCCATTCAGGAAGAGAGGAACACCCACCCACACTGCAAGAACTCATCGTTTTCATGGGCTTTGTTGCCAAAGCAAATGAATCACCCTTGAGGGTAGATGGAATTTGCTAAGGTCTCAGGTTTTGCTCTATCGGTTGTGTCTAGGGACGTATCTGAAGGCTTTGTTACCATGGCACCCAGGCTCTGGGACAGGGCTACACTAAGAGCAATTTTTGGAGAGAAATAGAGAGATTTCTCCCTGGCTTCCATTTGAGCCAAACAGATGAATTGGCTTCTTTTGCTTCAATAATTCTGGAACTGCAAGGCACCCTGGGGGCCCCGGGCTGAATGAAGCTGCAGCCTTCGTGGAAGCATTAATTAGCTTGTACGACACAGGCAGTACGCAGCCAAGTTTCTCTCTTGCCGGCAACACTGCTAATACCTAATGAGGATGCTGGGCTCCACTCGCTGTGCAGACGGGGTAGCATTTCAGCACTTTCGTAGGGAGGAGGTCACCATCAGGGCTGAGCAGAGCGATCTCTGCTGCTCAGGTGCTTCCCATTCTGGGACACTGTGACTGGGACAACTGTGCTCCTGCGTGTGTGGCTCCTCCTCACAGGCTGGGGAACAACAGTCCGAAACAGAGGAACGGTGCTCCTCCATGCACTCTGCATTCCTGAAGGAACTCACACTTGTTTGTAGGAACTTAGTCATCGTGTAAGGGATTGTGGAATAGTTCATTCAGGCCGTGTTTCTACTTCCCGTCCGGAAGGTAATCTTTTCTAGTGTAAACACTATCAGATTTTGCCCTAAATGGTTATGTAGGGAAACTTTGAACTGGTATGCATAATTTGCACATACTTGTTAAATTCAGCCACTTTTTTGTCTTGCCAATTGGGCACTAATGTCTGAAATAAACTAAAGAAGCTCCTTCAGATGAGCATGGCCAGCCTCTGTCTACAGCCAAGCCTGCTTCCCAGTGAGCTTCCCACCTCAGCTGTCAGCTGCTATTCACAAGCCAGTTTGATGCCCTCAGCTCTTAGAAATATTGTCTTTCCCTAATTCACACGCGCACACACTCTGCCTCTCTCCCTCTTTTTCTTTCCCAACTTCCTTCAAGAAAAGGATTTGAGGCATCTTAAAGAAATACATGTTGTTGAAGGCAAAATATAGAGGAGGCAGCATGGATAAAGGGAAAGCCAAAGGAAAGAAGACCACAAAGTTAGACCTGAGTTCCCTGGTGGGCAAAGATTAAGGGAGCCAGTTACGAGAGGACTGGTGTCCAGAAACGTAGGAGGAAGCCTGCTTTCCCGGCACTGAAGATTGAGAGCGACTGGAGGGCTTCGTCTCCCATAACCTCATCCCACTCAGACAGTGAGTCTCTTAGGGCCGGTCCTTCAGTACGGGGCTGTGACAACTAACACATTTTTTAGGAAAAGAGACTCAGCAACGGCCCAAAAGCAGAGCAGCCCAGATATGCAGCTCCATGACAGCTGCTCCTAAGCCAAGAGTTATAAAATGTACAGTTTCCAGAACTGTGTTTCTCAAAGGGAACGACTTGCTCCCCGAGATGCTCTATGAAGAAAATAGCGCAAGCCCAGATGTTCCCCTCTGAGAGAACAAGGGAGCCCGTGAACATGATCATGGCTCTTAGTCCTTCACACAAGGACCTCGCTTAACATTTCTCCTAGCTTATTTGGCTATAGAGCTCCCACCCCCCAGCAGGGTTTCTAATACTGTGTGTCAGTGTCTTTAAAAAGTCACACCTGCTTTTGGAGGTGGCCAGCCGGCTTGTGGGGAGCCATGGGGGGTGGTTTATTATTGCCTGCTTTCTAACAAGCATGTTTCTTCTTCCCCGATGTGTTGCCTGGGTGGACTGTAGCTATGTCCTGACTTGAACATATTCTCTCATGGGGTCCTTAGGCCTGTTGCATTGTAGGAGTTGGCTTTCTGGGGATCCTGATTCCATTATGTGTGACTTTACAGGTGCTGCACACCCAACTGGGACTCCCTTTGGGCCGCCTCCTCATCACAGCAACTTCCTCAATCCTGCTGCCCACCTCGGTGAGTCGCCCATAGCGGTGGGAAAAGATATGTGTATTTTGGGAAACCTGTCTACTGCACTCCTGCTGCACTTCCTGGCAGGTCGGCCATAGTCTGGATGCCTTGTGTACTACGTAGGGAAGTGATGGCGATCTTGTAGAAGTTTGAATATGTGGCAGCCATTGTCAGGATGTCAGCACCTCTGGTAGTGAAGACTTTCCTACCGAGTGGATCTGTGCTCCGTAGTGGTTCTGTCTGAAGGCACTGATGGTGCACTGGGGAAAGCCTGCCTCGGTCCCTCAGGGAACCCAGGGGCAGGGCACCCGCTCCTGCCCGATGGAGCAGGTTGGGGAGCTGTTGGCCCATGTCCATTGGCACCTCCTAGAGGTGGATAGAACGTCAAGCTGGTGTTATGAAGAGTCACCACCCATTGCTGTTTAATCACTTCACAATTCCCTGCCCTATTAATGTCTCTTCTAGTAAAGGTGCCTGCTTTTTTCCTGGTCTTTCTTTATTGGATATTTTCTGTAAGCAGATGCAGGCAATGGTGCGCCCAACAGCAGGGTGGTAACACGTGAGCCTTCAGAGTTTCATCACTGAGAGGCTAATTTTAAGATGTAATCTGACTTCCTTTCCATTAGAGCCTCCAGAGCACATTCCAGAAGAGGGGAGACGGGGCAGGGACACATCTTAGAACACGTGGCTTGAGTCATGTTCCCTACCCAGCCAAAGAGAAACGGGGCAAAATGCACAGTTCCAGAAATGAGCTTTTATAAATGCTGTGCTACCCCAATGCCTAAATCCAAGTGCAGTGAAAACCTTTGCGTGATCTGGTAGGAAAGCGGGACAGATCAGGTTGCATAGGGACAGGGCAAGGATTGCCTACCCTTTCCCCAGCTTCCAGGAAGCTCTTACGTTCCTCATGCAGCAGAGTCGTACAGCTGTCTCCTTCCCAATCTTGTTTGCAGAGCCTTTCAATCGTCCGTCTACGTTCACGGGCCTAGCAGCAGTGGGTGGCAATGCCTTCGGCGGACTTGGAAATCCTTCAGTTAGTGAGTACCTCTAATTTTTTTAAATCCTCCTTGGACTGTGTATCTCCTGTGACCTTTCTATGGCCCAAGACCTTTCCAGAGTAAAGGAAACAATGTTCTTGGGAAATAAATTGAGGTTGCATCGTTGCAAAGGCAGGCCTAAACAGTGGAGTTAGGTGTAAGTGTGCATTCCATCAAAACCACCTTTTTAAGGATAGCCCACTGTTAATACATGTTCCCAAGGTTCAGGAAAGGTAATGAACTCCCAAAAGTTTGCTTAAATTCATAGTTTCATCCACATTCCATCTCTACTATCCACAGCTTTAGCTACAACTCCCATTAGAAGTGAAAACAACTTTTAAATTTTATCTCACCTTTGGCATTGATTGAATTGGAAAAGCTCCTTGAAAAATAGCAGGAAAACAGCAGGCTCAGGAGAGTCAAGAGCTGGCAGCATATCGTGCTCCATAATCTGGGAGGGCCATGTGGTGTTCTACTACAAAGTCTGCCTCAAATAGGAAAACGTTCTAAACATTATTTAGTCAGTGAATAAAATACACTCAACTTGTTTTCTCTCATGCCATCCACATATCACAGTCTCCAGGTCCAGGGACCTAAAATGCAGCTGTAAGCAACCATCACAGTTTCATCTAGCACAGAGACCTTATGCGTCTGTTTAGGTCAAGGCCCTGTCTGGTATCTGGTGACACTTGTTTCACTTTGCAAAAGTTGTGGAGAGTACTGGTCGTGTTAGCAGGGTTGTGGTGGGTAGAGGGTAACCCTGAATTCTCTGAACTGAGCATTATCCGTTAAATCACACCATCAAAACACACCCTTCTGCGTGTACAGATATGTTTAAGTAGGTGACCTTGACACCTGTTCGGTCCCTTTCCTTTTTAATCTCCCCCTTCCTTTGGTAAAAAAGCTGTGAGCTACCTCTCCAGTGTAGGACAAGTGTTCCTCTAATGAATTTGTTAATCTCCTTTCCTTTTCCAGCTCCCAATAATATGTATTCATTTTAACTCTGAATGCTGTTAAAAGTTTTTTGGTAAGTACCTTCATTACAGCAGATTATATAATTTCTCTTAAACCTTTTTGTTCTCCACTTCACCATTTCAGCACCCAACTCAATGTTCGGCCACAAGGATGGCCCCAGTGTGCAGAACTTTAGCAACCCTCACGAACCCTGGAACCGGCTGCACCGAACGCCTCCGTCGTTCCCGACCCCTCCGCCCTGGCTGAAGCCAGGGGAGCTGGAGCGTAGCGCGCCCACTGCAGCTCATGACAGAGATAGAGATGTAGATAAACGAGACTCATCTGTTAGTAAAGATGACAAAGAAAGGTACGGAAAGAAACCGCTCTCGAGTCCCACTGGGGGAGCCCGCTCTATGCCAAGTACTGGCTGTCCACCCTCCCTGTCCCAGCCTCGTGCTTCAGCTGGCCCTGTGGCCTCAGGTCCTCACACAGCAGGGCCAGCACAGCACCCAGGCCCCGACATCCCCAGTGCCCCGCTCTGGTCCCATAGTGCCTCGTGACCGTAGCACCTGACCGTAGCAGAGCGAAAGGGTTCTGACTCAGAAGCAGCTGCACATGTGGAACCTCCCAAGGCCTTGTGAGCATTAGGAGATCCAAATAAAAGTCTTTGTCTAAAAGACAGTGAGTTGGGGCTTCGGACCAGACATACACAGCATGAATCAGTACCATATTTGCTTTCAAGTTTGTGTAGTCCATTGAATCATCCATAGGTTTTTCTCTCTCTTTTCTCTCCCTTTCTTTTTGTTTTCTTTTAGAAAGTCATGTTTGCATTGTCTCATCATATTGTTCTGAAATTTTGTTCAAATTCAAATCCTGGGCTCACAGATGACTAATAAAGTTTTGCTAACCTAAATTTAGAGAAACGTCAACAAGCAGTTTGGGTTTGGGTTTTGTTTTGCCAGTGGATACTTAATTTTATTAATCGTTTTTATGTCTACTTTGTAACCCATGCTTAAAACAGAAGTAGCCTTAAAGAGGAAAACGTCTTACGGTATTTCTTTCTGAAGAATGTCACAAGCATTCTTGACGTGTCCCTTTTTCTTTTCTTTCTTCAGGATATTTTCATTTTGAATGAACTGATAAGGAATACACAAGATATGCTTGACAGAAAATACCTAATAACAATTCCCTTTTGGTACTTAAGACTCAAATGTGATCCAAATCTTTCATTTTTCTTTACTGTGTATATTGTGTGTGTATTTCAGTGATTTAAAGGAATTCAACTTTGCAGGTTCTAAATGTGACAGATTAGTAGATATTTATCATAGACCATCATGCTAACTTGATTTCTTTTTTATAAAAGAAAAAGACAAATTTTCCTTCAACGCAGTCGGATAAAAATCTTTTAGCCAGTGGGAAGACTATTGATAACATTCAGCTCTGAACTAGAAACCGCCCAAGTGAGGCACACCTAAAGTGGACGTCCCCTAGACCAGGAACTCTCCTTACACAGGCTGTTAATGAAGAGAAAACAGAAGGTGGCAGCAAACCTGGTCACATGTTTCTTGATGGAGTCAAAATGGCCTCTTGGATTAAAGTCAGGAAACCTAATAAAATACAGTCTTCTTTTATCTTTCCTTTTAAAGATGTTCGTCTTAGCTTTTGCCCATGGGCTAGATACAGAGTTGTAGAGGGAGTCTTCCTTCCCCCACCACTGCGGCCGCCTCTCCTGAGCCTGGCCGCCCCTGATCCCGCGGCATCCTGCTTGCCTCCTCACCGTCCCACGGGTGTCTGGGGCCGCCCGTAAGACTTGCCTCTTCACGTGGTACCTGACTGTCATTCAGTTGCTTTGCATTTTCTGCCAAGTACTCTTAAGCCCCCATCCATCCAGGTCTCTAAAACTCTTCTTTCGTGTTTCCATTCACGGACGCTCACGGATTGTTCTTGGTTCCCTCATGAGGTTTTGTGTCTGTGGACCTGCTTTTCCTACAGGCTTTCTCAATCTCCTCATTGGATTGTAGCTTTCTTATCCTTCCTATTGCAAAAGTACTTTTTGTAACCCAAAAGTCCTGAGCTTGTGCTTTCCTTTCAAACCCCCTCATGGACTGCACCGGAGATTGCTCTGTCTCCGCGTCCTTGACCCTGAAACCAGCTGTCTGTCCTGATGTCAGGAGAGAGAAGCTTGGTCATCGTCACGGTAAACTCCCTCCTCCTGGCTCTGTATTGCAGAGTGCGGCGAAAAGTCGTGTTCGCATTTGTGCTCTTCACACTTGATTCTCAACGCTGACTGATCCTGAGACTCCAGTCAGACGGGCAGCATGGCCACATCACCGACTCACCACATTGGGCCATTTCGGCTTTCTGAAAGCTCTTCCTTTGTGGTCTTGATTGAGGCACGTGACTCTTCCATACAGAGCAAACTATTCTCTTCTCTCAGCTCTCCCATTCACCCTCATCCCCAGCACTTCACCCTCTTAAAGCTTCCTTTACAGTCTAGATAAGTCAGGGTGGCTGGATTTGTCATACAAAGGGCATGTCCGGCTGCCAGACCCAATCCAGTTCTTCTCACACCACCATTTCATTGGCAGCCCCTTGCCAGGCCGACAAGCCCATTTCATTTGCTTCCTGTTTCCCTCTTTCTTCCTCAGGGAAAGTGTTGAGAAAAGACACTCCAGCCACCCTTCACCAGCACCTGTCCTCCCGGTGAGCACCCTGGGACATACCCGCAGCTCCACTGAACAGATCAGGGGTCATTTGAACACTGAGGCTCGCGAGAAAGACAAATCCAAAGAGAGGGAGAGAGACCACTCAGAGTCCCGCAAGGACCTGACCGCCGAGGAGCACAAAACGAAGGAGGGCCACCTGCCCGAGAAGGACAGCCACAGCCACGAGGGGCGAGCCGTGGGCGAAGAGGCCAAGCAGCTGGCCCGGGTGCCGTCGCCCTACGTGCGGACCCCGGTCGTGGAGAGCACCAGGCCCAACAGCACCTCGAGCCGTGAGGCTGAGCAGCGCAAGAGCGAGCCCGCCTACGAGAACCCCAAGAAGAGCTCAGAAGTCAAGGTGAAGGAGGAACGCAAGGAGGACCACGACCTCCCTCCGGAGGCCCCCCAGACCCACCGGGCCTCAGAGCCACCTCCTCCCAGCTCCTCCTCCAGTGTGCACCCGGGGCCTTTGGCCTCCATGCCCATGACGGTGGGGGTGACAGGCATTCACCCCATGAACAGCATCAGCAGCCTGGACAGGACTCGCATGATGACCCCCTTCATGGGCATCAGCCCCATCCCGGGTGGAGAACGGTTCCCATACCCTTCTTTCCACTGGGACCCCATTCGGGACCCTTTGAGGGATCCCTACCGAGAACTTGACATTCACAGGAGAGACCCGCTGGGCAGGGACTTTCTGCTAAGGAATGACCCTCTTCACCGTCTCTCCACTCCCCGGCTGTACGAAGCTGACCGCTCCTTCAGGGACAGGGAGCCTCATGATTATAACCACCACCACCACCACCATCACCACCCTCTGTCTGTGGACCCACGGCGGGAACACGAGCGAGGGGGTCACCTGGATGAGCGGGAACGCTTGCACATTCTCAGAGAGGACTATGAGCACACGCGGCTCCACCCAGTGCACCCGGCTGCCCTCGACGGGCACCTCCCCCACCCCAGCCTCCTCACTCCGGGACTCCCCAGCATGCACTACCCCAGAATCAGCCCCACCGCGGGGCACCAAAACGGACTCCTCAACAAGACTCCTCCTACAGCCGCGCTCAGTGCGCCGCCCCCACTCATTTCTACACTGGGGGGCCGCCCAGTCTCTCCCAGAAGGACTACTCCACTGTCGGCAGAGATAAGGGAGAGGCCGCCTTCCCACACGCTGAAGGATATTGAAGCTCGATAAGGAGAGACTAGGACACGAAAGAGGAAGAAATCCTACCCCGACACGATGCCAGACTTTAGAAAGAGAGAGCACGAGAACTCCTGCATCATTAACACAGACTGGGGGGCGAGAAGCCCCCAACTCTTACCTTTGTAAAAAATGTATAGACTCGGTGCAGATTTTGAAATGTTTTTGTATATTATATGTTGAAATTTTTCAGATCTTTTAGCCAAGTCACATGTTCTCACGTGTCCCAACTCTCTCGGTTTCTCGTATAAAACTTTTTGATTTGAACCAAAACAGTGAAGATGACAACACACACCAGTGTGGTAATACTTGGGGAGAAAGCAAACAACAATCCACACAATCCATCGTGCAAAGCTCTTTCAGGTGAGAAGGGAAAGCCGTGTACATACTATGTAAAAAAAGGTTGCTTCACGAGCTAAGGGTTCATATATGCAAAAGGGTAAGATGAAAGCTTTACTTTGTATAAATGTAAATAGATAAAGATTAAGTAACATAATACATTAATACTTCTTAAAATGTGCTATTTGCAAACCTAATATCAGTGAACACAGGTGGCTATGCTGTGTTCCCATGTATTGTTATAGACAGCTAAACCCTTCAACTATGCAATGAATGTTAGGGCTTTTCACAAAAGCCCGTCTAACTCAAAGGAGCCTTTTCAATCCATTTACAACATACTTAAGGTCATATTTTCCCTGAACAAGCACTTACGTGATATGACTCTGTTTTCCTTGCTTGTTTTTTTCAAATGGAGAAACATCCTATTTTGCAAATTGGACCCCAGGCTGAAACTTTGCGTCTGAAGTTGCTGCTTGTGGGCTCCCAGGGGGAGAGGGCAGCCCTGGAAAGGTAACGAGGACATGAGCAACCAGTGCCAGGGAGGACGGGCGTTGTCAGATGCCAAAATCAGGGGACACAAACAGGTCGCCAGCATCTCGTCACCACCCATCACATGATTTCACACACACCTCTTGTGGGAACCATGCATTTTTCAGTGTGTCCTGTTTCATATCTGTACACACCTCCTCGTTTGGTAATGAGATTTAATTACACCTAAACAGATCCTGAAAGAAAGCTTCAAGTTTTCTCAGATGATGGATATGTTTTCACTGTATTCAATAACTGACGAGTTTAAGGTGCACATTTCCTAATGTGACTCAATGTATTCCAGTCAGTAATAAAGTCTGGGAATAGCCGTGACAGGTCAGCCCTGTGCAGCCATGGAGAGTTACAGAGGGTGGAAGGTGGCAGACAAAGTTTTGTGTGTGCGTGTGTTTTTAAGTTTGCATCGATCTTAATGTCTCTTCATAATACTTTTATAACACATTAAGCCTCTTGTCTACATATTTGGAGAGAATATGACTTTACTAGCAGAGAAATACAATATATCTTGTCTACTGGACTGTAAAATATATGTATGAAATAAAATTAGTTCCATTTGGTCTTCTAGTATATTAAAAGTGCTATCTGACGTTGTTATCCTGTTTTTGCAAAAAAAAAAAAAAGTTAATTACAGACCATTGTTTCTAATAAGCAGAGAGATCTATTTTAGTAGTAAACTAAAGGTTTAGTTGTGAGCTTCAGATTTTGTGAACTCCAGATGTTGTGCAGTGTTTTTTTTTTTGTTTTTGTTTTTTTTGTTTTGTTTTGTTTTTTTGTTTTTTAAGACAACAATTAAAAAGGAAAAAAAAATTCAAGGAATATGTACACTGGAACTGTAGTGGTAGCTTTCAGTATTGTAAAGAGATTGTTCTATACAGACCTTTTTGCCGTTTATCCTGTATGTAATAAAGTCCTTTCTAGATCCTATGTGAAAAGAAAAGTGAAGCGACTGAATCTTCAGCATGTTCTCATCAGCGGAGCCTTCTTGTGTAACGTAAACTGTGCCATGTTATTAAAAAATGTGAACTAAGCTTTCAGCTGTTTGTTTGTGTGCATGGCCATCCTCACCTTAGGGAAGAAGCCATACCTGTGAGACCTGGCTCTGAAACACCTGAGCCCAGCCAAGTGACAACAGAAGGCAGACCTCCAGTGGCCACCTGCAGACTTAGCTAGTGACCCGCCAATTAGTCTCTGTAGACCTGTGAGTCCCACTCAGTCAGTTCTGGGTTCTCTTGTTGTTTTATGTGCTAAGCAAAATGCTGTAAGTCCTGGGTAGGTGTTTCGGGATTTTGTAGAGGATGTATGTGTGGCCAAGTTAGCAAGCGCCCGTTGTGCCCTGGCCCACCTCAGACCTCAGCGTCTGCTTTCTCTGCACTGATGACACCTCCAATTTCGGGTCTTTGGCAGCGGTCTGCGTGGTTGTTCCTTTGCATTTCACTCTGAGGACTCAGTTCTGTGTTACCTAAGACCTTCCAGATGCTTCTTCCTGTCTCTCCCTTTTCTGTGTCTTGTTGAATGACATGGCACATCTCTCATCAGTTTGCAGACTTCTCCCTCATCCTCGACAGCCTGGTTTGTTTCCAAGGTGTAAAAATCGTTAAATGTTATTGTGTCAACCTGATGAAATTTCTGTAGGGATAGATGTTTGTATCTTACTGGAAAAAGCAAAGGAAAGCAATCCTGGTTAGCAGGATGTGGTAGCTGCTAACCATGCCTTACAAATGGGAAGTGAACAGAAACGGGGGCTCGGGGCTAGTGACTGGAGGGTGCCATGGGCTCATGGGGGTGTGGGGCACTGGAAGACTCCTGGGGGGACCAGCCCTGCAGGTTTAGATAGAAAGCTAATGAGAGAAGCAGGGGCTGCTGGGTAAAGGCTGCTTCACTCTGCTATTCTACGTGACTACCTGATTTCCAGACTCGAGAAAATCACTGGAAGAAAAACGAATGGATTGGAAAACATGGTAAACACTGTGTTTTTCCAAATCAGGCAATTCTCAAGACTGCAGACACTCGACATCAATGTGGATTTGCTGTTTCTGGCAGACCTCACTGCCTTCTATTATACACCTATTTTCATGTCGCCATCTGCAATGTCAGGACTGAGAGAAGTCAACCCTCACATCAGTCACAGTATTTAATCCCTGAGGCTTTATTCATCTCAACCTTTGCATATTTTCCCTCTAATTATGTTCAGTTTCTTGGCATTGATGGGTACCAGCACCAATTTGATTTCCTGCTAACCTATAGATGCTCTAATTATCTCCACAATCTTTGACTGACAATGACCTTGTTACCTTCTAATAGTACATGACAAGTAAAATAGCGAACATAATGATGCAATAATTAACATTTTAGAAGGATAGTTGCAAAAGCATTTGCTGTTTATCCTTTTTCTGCCTCAGCCAAGGTGGATAAGACAAATAGGATGTGACTGTTGATGTTATGTACGTATGTAGCATAAAAAAAAGTTGAAGACAGAACTGTGCAGTGCGAGTAGCCATGCAGTGTGGGCCACTCCGGGCCATCCCTGTGTGCCTGCGTCCATACTGAAAAGGATATTAGGCCTTGGTGGCATTAAATCTGCTGAAAGAAAGAGGATAACAAAAGTGACTTGGGCTTTTTCACATGTTATTTTTTAAAGCTTTGCTATCAGGTTTTTTTCTATGAATTTCTGAGTGGTTTCCTAGACAGGGGAAGTTACCTTTCAATAGAATAGGGTCATTTAACAGAAAATTATATCATCGAAGACAATTCCACGCTGTGAAATTGCTGGCCTTCCTTTGGCACTATCACAAGTACAAGGCAAGTTATTCACCTCACAAGAGCTGCAGGAAGCCTCTGGTAGGAGCTTGACCAGGTGGCAGGACCTGCAGCCACGCCGCTACCTACCATTCAGTGACCTTGAGCCAATCAGAGAACCACCCTGGAACTGTTTCTTAATGTGCGAAGTGACCTTAACTCTGCCTGAAGACGGGCATGCTGTAGCCCGATGTGCCTCAGCATGGATGGGATTTGGGTGTGTGCTACCCCAGAGGCAATGGGAATGGTAGGGTGGATAGAGAATGCCCACAGAAAGAGACAGGAGCTGTATTTGTTTTTACAGACTCAGTCCCAATTATAGTGTTGTGAAAATTTTTAATAAAGATTTGCTGACATATTTGGTAGAACCAAAAGCAGTGGGTTTCTAACTCACAGACCTCAGTGTTTCTCACCTGGTGAGGGGAAGGGTAATTAGGCAGCATCTGGCTAGAGCACCCAGAATATTGCCAGTTGGGGCCCCAACCTACTATCATACCCTGATGTTTACAGACTCCCTGACGTAGGTAGGCAGGGTGGGGTTGAACCTCCGAGCCAGTATTTGGAGACTGAATACTGTGTCAGAAGAGCCCTGGACAAGAGCCTTCAAGAACTGTGTCTTGTGTCCCAGGCAGGTCTTGGGCACACAGGCTCAGCCTCCTCAGCTCTAACTTGAATTTTCATTGGCCGATATTTGAGGCTTCTCCGAGCTCTATCTGAATTTTGTATCTCTGGTGGGCCTCAGGTTGCTTTTTAAAACCTATTTACCGTCTCATACCCTGTACCATTCTCAGTACTTCTTGACAACCTCTTAACCTACATTTATTTGCAGGATCTATTCCCTTTTCCCAAACACCCTGGTGTCAAGTCAGACTCAAAACCATCTCCATAAAGCCTCCCCTGAGCTCCTTGTTTCACACTGATCCCTCCCTCTAGAAACCCTGTGTCACTCTCTGAGCCCCCCCCCCACTCCACCCTCCACTCAGCCCTCCCTGTTCTGGGATTCCATAGGCCCCAATCTTCTCTACTGCAGGGCAGAGGCCTAAATGGATGTCTCCCAAGGTAGGTAGAGGCCTCTCCTGGGTTGGGTCGGTGAACAGGAAACTGCACAGATACCTGGCTCTGAAATGTCTGACTAACCCACATGCATCCCGATGCAGTGCACATCTACACACAAACCTGAAACAAGTTCCTGGTTCTGCATAATGAGCTCCGAATGTTTTTATTCCATTATCTTCTAATTTTTTTTTTAATGCTGGGTGCACCCACTACATTTCACGCACTTGGAAACCATGGGTCTCAAATCCCTAGTTTGAAAACAGCATCACAAAAGAAATTCCCCAGACTTTACAGGAGGGTGAGACTCACATGGGCTGAGGATCAGGCTGCTTTCTGCTCTTGTCCTACAACTGCTCCTTGTCCTTTGACCTGGGCTCTCCCTAAACCAGCCTTTGTGCTACTGCCAGTTCTACCCACGTCTCCCAGGTTCCACAGGCATCCTCTACTTAGAGAGGTCTGCCGAGTGCGGCCAGGACCTCCCACCTGGCCTTCAAGGGCCTGCACCTGGTGCCTGGAACCAACCAGCTTCATCTGTCTTTCCCTGCACTCCCTGGGCATTCATGTACCTGTGTCTTTGTTTCCTCTGCTTTGTCTTCTTCATCTGGAAAACTGAGGCTCGCCTCAAAGGCCTTCACCTCTAGGAAGCCTCCCCTGACTGTCCCTTGTCCCCCATCATGGTTAACTGCTTACTCTAGTGGCTCTCAGATTGAGGTCCTTGAACCAGCAGCAGCACTACCTGGGAACTTGTTAGAACTATAATACATATCTCAGCCCCCTCCCTCCAGCCTCCTGAATTGGAAACCCTGAGGGCGGGCCCCAGTGATCTCTGTTTTAATGAACCCTCCAGGCGATTCTAATGCACAGTCAAGTTTGTGGAACGCTGACTCAGCCTATGTAGAAAGGTCAATGGAAAGTTCTAGCCAAATGTTGCAAAAAGAACCATCAGGTAACAGAAGATGATCCTGGAAGAGAATCTGTGTTCTCTTTGATTTTTCAGCCTGATCCATGATCCTCATTTGATTCAGAAAGGCATTTTCCACTTCCGGGTCTATCCCAATTCCTTGCTAGTGTATGGTTGTAATTCATGTATCACTAACAGTACGAGATGGGCCAAGATGTCAGCCTCTCCCTCTCCTTAGCATAATGAGAGTAGTAGCCAATGTTAACTAAGTGCTTTTTGTATGTACTCTTCTAAGTGCTTTTAACATGGATTAGCTCCCTTAATGTGTTCAACAGGGTATAACCCAAATGGGCAAGTGAGAAAAATGAGGCCCAGAGAGATGAAGCAATGTGCCCGTTTCAAACGCATAACCTAATTACAAATCCAGGCGGTCTCCCACCTGAGCCTGCACCATAACCGTGGGCCTGTGTTACCACTGAGAGAAGGCCTGCTGAGCTAATTAGCCACATAAACAGCAAGTGCAGGGATGTCGTTTACTCACTTAGCATGCACTTGTAATTAGCACCATATATATTCCAGAGGCTGCAAACTGGTGGCCTGGAATGAATGAGTCAATCAATCAATGAGGATTGTACATGGCTCAATGATAAGAATATGCCACGAACCAAAGATGATGATTAAGCCAAGTCTGTACATCTAAGGTTTATTTTTTTAAAGTGGTAGCTTGTGTTGTATTTGGGCCTGAATGATTTTAGAAAACAGAAATTTTAGGAACTAATTGGATCCAGTCAAGACGATGGAGTAGGTAAATGCTGTGCTTGCCCCCTCTCTTGACCACATCAAAATTACAACTGAACTACCATCACTGACAATCACCTGAAGTCTAGTAGAGCTAGACTTCTAGTAGAACAGAATTCCTATAACTACAGATATAAAGAAGAAGCCACATCGAGACTGATCAGAGAAGCAGAGATATGGAACAGGATGGCCCCAGTGGTGGTTATAAATTGGGAGGGATATCTCAGCTGCAAAGGTCCACTCATAAAAGCGAGGCATCCTACCCTGACTCCAGGCTCCTCACACCAGGGTTTCAGTGCTGGGGAGAGAAGTCCCACAATTTCTGGCTGTGAAAATTAGTAAACATTGTGGCTGAGACAGAGTGAGGCTGGAGTCCCAGGCATTCCTCTTAAAGGGCCCATGCATAGACTTACTTGCTAATGGGTTTACTTGATTTGAGCTTTAGCACTGGGGCAGCAGCTCGAAAGACACCGGGG